GTCTGCCTAGCGGTCTTACTTTGTGGGTCGAATTTTATTGCATTTTAGGCTGGTTCTCTCTTCCCGCTCTGTGTCACGTTCCTCACGCTCTGCGTCTTATTCTTGTCCATCACGACGTCTTGTACCTTGGAGCTCTTCTCTTATTTCGTTTGCCTCATACATTTGATCTTGTAGTGAGACTCTTCTTATGGCTCTTAGTGTTCTGTTTCTGTTGTTCGGAATATTTGCTTGGTTTTGGCTGTTTCTGCTTGTTGTTTTCGACGGCGTACGTTGGGACTGGCCTTACGCACATGCTTTATTCGCGCTTTGGTTTTTGTTGAATGGGTATTTGTTTCTCCCGCGCTGATGTTTGTTTTGTGCGTGTCTTGTTTCAGATGTTTGTTTGTCGGTCGCTGGTAATTTCTGTAAATATGTGAATGTCTGTTATCACAATTTCGATGTTTGTTTCCAGTTTGTTGCAGCGTATTTGGGTGCGAGATGCGATATTGCTGGCAGTTTTTGGTGTGGAGATTTCCACCATTTAGCCTAACTTTTGCTGCTTTGTTGGGGGATGAATGTAGTCGCTTTGCGGTTCGTCTTGTTATACTCCGCCACCGAGGAGAGCATCATCGGCGTAACACAGTATTTACTTTGTTCCCCATTCTGTACCTGCGTTGGTTGTTTTGGTTTTGTCGATTATTCTATCCATCCTACACACAGTCCATCACCCACGTTCTACTTACATGTTGTTGTTCACTCGTTGCGTTTTTATCTTGTGTGTTTTATTTTTGGGTTTAGTTCTTGTGATTACGGATAATGTGTGGTTATCATGGGGTTTTTTGGATCGGCGTATTTCTGTCATCTCGGCCGCGTATATCAACGACAGCGCTTTATTGAGGTTACGGCGCAGGAATTGTTAGCATATTCTGATTATTGATTTCTCGTAGTTCTTACTATAAACAAATCGATTGTGGATCTATTGAATCTGCGGATCTTGCTTGTTCTTCGTTTTATGCTGAATTTTGTGATATATGACGCTTCGTTTTGGTGAAAAGCGCTTCAATTGAGTTGGGAGGAAGTAACTCTGTAGTTGTTGGGATCTGTTGTCGCCTTTTGAATATGGGTACTTGTTGTGCGGGTACTTGTAAATTATTAACACTTATTAAATGTTTCCAAAAGGCCAGTACTGAAACAAAATCTTAATACTTATTGGTTTTACAATATAACGTAAAAAGCACAACTGTATTGAAACTGATTTATCATACAATACAGCAGCACATTCCTCCTTATATAATTTAAAATAAATATACGTATAAATATAGTGGATATTGTGCTACGTAATCAAATCAACAAAATGGTGGTGTTACTTTAGAAATGCCACTGTGGTTCATGGACAAATGGGATAATTTGATATTGTGGATATACTGTATTTATACTAACTTAGGAGGTATGCCAGGTGACCTCATACACCTCTATATTATTGGAATAATCTACAAAATCAATACAATTTTTAACACACACATTTTTATTCTTCTTTTTAGTTTCTTTTGTACCTTCGATTTTTGTTAAACAGAATTATGTTAAGCAAGTGCTTGGTAACATTGCTTTAACACTTGCAGGAATTTTCGTAAAATTTTACTACCATATTCGTCTTTGGTCTAAATGTTTCATAAGGAATAGATTAAGTTATTTATTGTTTTATAAAGGTTGGATGTGTAAAATTTGGGGTATTTGTAAATTAATTGATATATATTTTTATTGAAAATTGAATTGTTGAACTATCTGTATCCATATACGGTATACTCATAGCTTCGTTGGGTATTACTTTAACAAATCACTCTAACGGTAAGAATTCGTACGATGTATACGTAATTTTGAAGGTTTCAGGGAACGCGAAACATGAAATGGGTTTTGTTATAAAATGCCTTTTGTTTTCATTTTCTATTGCGACTAATTTTTCATCGAATACAACACAATTTTGAAATTTGGTTTACGTTGGCTGCTAGAACGACAATCATTATTCCAATGTTTAACTAATTTAAGCGAAATACGTTTAAATAAATTTTCACACGTTTTCCATGGCATTGATTATTAGTTTGTAAAAATCTTTTTCAAATGAATTTTGTGCTTCTTGTCTGAATTTAATATTTAAGTCAATGTATATTTTTAACCAATGTGACTGCTTAAATTTTAAAATTCGATTGATTTTCTTCAATTGTAGTCCATTTCGTATCGCATTTTTTAAATTTCTATAATTATATAGTTACGTTTATTATTTAAAGTTGTTAATAATTCTTTCTGATTAAATTTTGAAGTTGGTGGTACTTGATTTATTGGTAGGAAAGGGAAGTCGTTATGTTTATCATGCAATTCTTCGGGGTAGTCAATGTCAATATCTAATAAGTAACCCACTTCGCTGTCATCAGCAACTTGCATTACATTTAAATCCGTATTTTGAACCCATTCAAAATTGCCAATCGGTAAGCATTGCGACATTGCCCAACCATACAAGTTATTTGCATCCCAATATGCTAAATAACTTTTGCGTTAGTAGAATCAAATGTATGAGGAGTATATTCATTATTTACTTCGGCCTAACGATGTGAGCATTGACTAATACCTCGTCGAATACTATTTTTCATCATATTGATCATTGTGTAGTCACTCAAGAGTTCAATTTCAACCTTTGTTGACTTCAACATTGCATCAAAACTTAAACCGGGTGTTGTGAAATAGTGAGCTGGATCTAATTGATAGGTTTTATAAGACGTATTTCTAAAGTAAAATAGTGAGCAACGTGTTCAAAATTAGTTATATTCTGCAGACTAGATGACATAAATTTAAATAAATCTAGAAATCGTAATATTAAGTATACGTTTTTAGTTTTATTTGATCTATTTTAATTCATTTACTAAATGAAATATGTTTTTCTTTGTTGTTTGGAATCAAATCAATTGGTTCATTGGTAGGTATTTGCTAGCTCTTTAATAAATAAATGAGCGTCATATCCAGCTAAGTTATGGAAATACACAGGAATAAACGAAGGTAACTTGAAATTTAAGTTACATTTAGAATGTGCCGCGCCTTGGTATTCACCAGTTAAATGACAATGATCCATCACTTTGCAATCATTAAAAGTAAATTTTTGATTTCAGATAAAAGACTCATCAGGAAAGAAATGTTGTAATGTTTTAAATGCCACTTGCTCACCGGTATATACTGTTTTTAGATTATTAGCATGAGGTATAGTGGAACTTCGATAAGTTAAACCTTGCTAAGTTCAAAACCTTTGTAACTTAAAAATTTTTCTGATTCTTTTCCATTGACAGCTTAAAACCTCTATTACTGAAAGTAAAAAACCTCGGTAACTCAAATAAATATTTTGAACATTGCCCTTGATAATTTCAAAAAAAATATTTTTGTGACATCTATAACTTAAAGCAGTCTTTCCCAAAGTGGGCGATAACGCCCCCTTGTGGGCGCTGCAGGTATCAAGGGGGGCATTCCTGTACATAATATACATATATAGGTCACAATATTTAGTTAATTCAATTTGAAGTTAGAGTGGTTTTTAAATAAGTGCAAAAATGGGGGCGCTAAAAAAATAATTATTCTCAAAGTGGGCAGTAGACAAAATAAGTTTGGGAACCACTGACTTAAAGTTTTATTATTGAGTAGAGTCGTGCTACACACTCAGCCACATAGGTTTTGATGATGCCGTGACGTGAAGAGAGCTTGCAGACTGCGACCTATTGGATTAAAATATGTACAAAACTCACATTTTTTAAAAAATTAAACTTATATATTTATTTAAAAAAATAATATATTAAAAATATAATTAAAATTAAACTTGTATATTAAAATTAATGTAGTCTTGTAGTTCCACCTCGCGCTTAAAATGAAAAAAAAAAGATCACGTGATTAATGGACAGCCCCTAACAAGTAATGTAATATAAGAATTTATATAATATATAAATAGGACCGTGCAACCGTTTTCCGTACTATTATTTTGTTTATTGCTATTTTACTACTATTTTGTGCCATCCCGTGTTACCCTCCTAGAATCTCTGTTTTACCCCTGCGGGGGTAATTACCCCCAGGTTAGGAACCACTGATTTTATGGTGCGATTCTGTGTTCACCACTTAACAAACGAACGTACGAAAGCTCCAAGACGCTTCGTACGGCGAAGTTATGGATCGGCCTTAAGTGGTATTCTGTGCGCTCATCTGTAACTATACCTAAAGTCAACCCCGCTGCACGATAGAATTTGACAGAAAGCGCGCGAGTTTCAAATCTATGGGTTCTTCAATTATCCAAATATGCATCAATTATATATTAATACTTATTATTTCTATTTTTTGAACGTGTTTCAAATTTATTCTTTTATATTCAAATATTTTAATCTATATATTTTTTTTAATAGTGCCTTAAATAAGTTTTTCAGTTGATACGCATTTATTTCTTTATGACGAACGGTTAAAAATGTTTTGGGAATTTGTGGGACCTTTTCTTGAATGTTTGAAAATTAGAAAGTTGTAGTTATAATGCGAGTAGTATATTGTTCATAGTAATATAGTTCAATTCATTGAGGTTGTAAAATAGCTGGTAACTCTCTTTTTGGGATATTGTTTATTGCGCTTCATTTTTTTCACATCTGCGATGCACGTTTATCCTCCTCCTACAACTTTTATCTACACTTTTGGGGTGGTAGTTGGAATAAAAAAAACGGAGAGTGGTCAGTTCGTCTTGAATCACAACTCTGACTCGTTTTGATTATTTTATATTTTCTTACCTCCTATAGTCCGCTTCAAGCAAAAATGTCACAATTAATAGGTTTTCCATTTTGGAAGTACTGGTAGAACCAAAGAACAAGTGGAAGTGATGGAAATACCGCATCACATCTGCTGAGCACACGGCTCGTCAAAATATTCCACTTTACCAATTCCAACTCCGTCGGGTTGTATTAATTTGTTGTGGGTATTCGACTTGCAACTCGCAAAAATTTGCATAAATATTTAATTGTAGCAAGAGAAGCGCTTATACGATACTATTTATAATTTGATATTGGAAAGAAATTTGTTAAACGCTGCTTTAGATTTGAACATCACGACTAATATAGCTTTGATTTATTGCATTTGTGTACAAAACTGCTATTCATTTAGACTGTAAAATTATTTAAATTTTACCTGACTGAAACTTGATGCCACACTCTTTTCTAGGAGACACTACTACCGCTACTCTCCTACGGTGCCCTAAATGGGTGTAACTTCTACCGCTACCTTCGTACGGTGCCCTAAATGAGAGTCTTTATGGATCCTGTAAGAATAATTTATTTAATTTATGTATATGTATACTTCATTTACATAAATATTTTCCAGTTGTTGGATTAAGCATTGGCTAATCCTGAGATGGTCAAGTTTATCAATAAGGACCAACTGGAGACGTTCCATGGTACTGGTGGAGTGCGTATTGAGGATGATGTTTTGATTACTGAAGATGGATGTGTCAACTGGACTAAAGTTCCAAGAACGTATGTTATATTTTGGCAATTTATAATATTTTATATTGTACTATTCTGTTATTCATTCTGGTTTATAGTGTCCAAGAAAGTGAAGATTGGATTGCCGGTGTTGATGATGATTCCAAACACGATTGAATGAATTTACACCATCTTGAAGCTGTTATTGTTATAATTTTTGTTTATTTTCTTAAAAGTTGTTAAAAAGGCATTATATAATTGCATATTATTATCCTGTTTTCTTGCTTGTATTGTTGAAAATATTGAGAAATTGAGTTTGGGATTGTGTATATTCTACATGTTTGAATAAAATTGTAGTTTTATATTTTTGACTATAAATTGTTATCGTTTTATTTGTTCCAAACGGAGAACTTAGCTCGCAACATCGTTACTCCTTTATTTAATCCATAAATCCCTTAAACTTTATTGGAAATGCCACTGCTAAATATGCCAAGTAGTTCAAAAGCAATTTTATATTGTATCAATATTAATTTAAAAAAGGTATCACTTGTGTCATCTGTCTATGAGTAATTAAACTACGCCGCTACTAAAAATTACCGGAAATTCAGCAGCCTACTGCACTTTCTGCGCTCCTAATATTCAATCATTATTTTGTCGACTCTGCGAGGCAAATCACACAAAATTTGGTCTCGAAACAGTCGCAACTCAGGTTTTGGTATTCGGATCGCAGAAAGTATGAGGAGGTTGATAAAGTTTTGGCGGTAACTAGTAATGGCGGGTAAAATTGATATTTAAAACTCTATTTTCAGCAATTGCAGCTTCTGTATGAGTGGAATTTTTAAATCCTGTTTTCGGATTCTGTAAGCTAAAATTCTATATCGACTATTTATGTAATTATTTTCTTAACATAAACGTTTAGGCCCTATTTGCAATTTTAAATATAAAATTGTTTTTTTATATATCAGTAGGGCCTTAATCTATAAGTGTGTTACTGGTTTCCGATTCAGAATTTAATCTACTTTCAGAATCCGAAAACAGAATTTAAAAATTCCAATTATTACAGAACCTGCATTTGCCGAAAAAAGAATTTGACATAAAAAAGGCAAAACATTTTTCTTTTTTATGTCGAATGTTGTTTTCATTAAAATTGTAAATAAGGCCTAAACGGTTAGCATAAACAAAAAAAGTTACTAAAATAATCGATGTAGAATTAAATTATCAATCATAAACCGAAAACAGAATTTAAATATTCCAACTTTTAATTTTCGACATAAGGATATATATTTCGTTTCGATATAAAGATTGAAGATTCTCAGTTAGAGAATTTACTTCGCTCGCGACATCTTCATGTTATTTCTCAATATAATCAAACCTAGTTGAACACTTATTATCAAAATCTTTTAATTTATCTTTAATAGATTGATTTTGCTGATTTACATATGAGTTAGAAGTAACTTCGTTAAATTCTTTTGGTAATAGTTCTATGTTTAATATACGTTTATTCTTAATGTCAAAATTACCAATTATTAATTGCACACCCACTCCAGATGGCATTTCTCGATTGATCTGTTCGATCGTCTCACTTAACTTTGTTTGACCAAATTTATTAATGCTCATTGCTGCACTGTTGACGCATTCTCTCCAACTTTTATATCAAAACTGTTTCTAAAACTAAACTCGTGTAATTTATACGATTTTGAAAACGAACACGATCGATTGCCAATTGCATCCATTTTAGATCATCATTTAGATTCACAGACTTAAAATAATAAATTTCTACAACACTGTTAAAATTAACTTTCTTTTGCTTTCTGTATAACGTTATTAATATATAATTCTAGCTTCCTAAGTTCTTCTTCGACTGTTTTAATTTCGTTCAGAACTGAATTATTTTCAGCTGATTTAAATGCATGCAACAAAACCAATCCATCAACAAATTCATTTACTTCATCCCAATATATTGCTCTGTATGGTTTATTGTCAACCTTTAAAAACTTCATGCCTTTACACTCTTTTTCTATAAAATAGGGTCTAATAGTTTTCATATACTTTTAGATGAGTTAACTTTTATACACATAGAAGGATTATTATTTAAATACATGGCTTTGCTCAGTTTTAACATTGAAACATATTGATTGTTTAGTGTAATGCTTTGAATCTTTTAAAAATAGCAAATTATACAATCCTAATGTTCCATTAAAACGTGTAATACTGTTAATTATATTTAATAGTATTTTCATATATTTAAAATACTATAAAAAATAAATATAACATATTATTTTAAACCACATTTACGTGTACATAATTTTTAACATATTCCATAAGCAAATCATAATAATAATTTATTATTTCGAACATTATTTCTGTCGTTTCAAAGTAATTACGTTTTGTTATCCGGTTCTAATGATTGCTGTGGTTGAAGAGCAGGAAGTAAAATACTGATAATTGGGCCTCCAGCTTGACTGGCGTTTGGATAATTTGAAACATAATCCAAACAATTGTTAAAATATTGGTAGAACTTTAATTGATCAATCGTTCAATCGAAATGATACAAGGGTGTTAATTTAATTAATGTCTTCGTTTCCCTTCTATAAAACACGATTTGCTGTCCATCCTTTTTCAAAATTACAACCATCTTGATTATTGCATTCTTCTTTGCCTTTGTAAATACAATATCAAAATCAGTACAAATGTTAATTTTTCTTATCTTCGCTCCAGTTTTAGTTGAGTTTCTAACATGCACGTGCATGTACAAACACTATTACATGGCAGTTTTAACTTGTTTGTAACTTGTTTGGTTTTGAAAAAAATCCATTTCTCGCTGATGGTCCAATAATAATTTCCACTCTGTAGCTTGAAGAATTACTCGTTGTGGTGTATTTGTATTAATTGTATCTCGAATTATAACTTCGTGGTAGAATCCAATTACTGGTATAAAACCAACTTAAAGTTACAAATGATTATTAATATTAACCTCCGCCCACTGATTTTGTATTTTTATTTAACGACTCACTCATTTTTTTTTTGCTCAAGATACGTATGAATATAAAACAATCAATGACCAAATAAAATATATTAAAATTTATTATTTTGCATTGTACATAATTTTTAACATATTCCATAAGCAAATCATAATAATAATTTATTATTTCGAGCATTATTTCTGTCGTTTCAAAGTAATTACGTTTTGTTATCTGGTTCTAATGATTGCTGTGGTTGAAGAGCAGGAAGTAAAATACTGATAATTGGGCCTGCAGCTTGACTGGCGTTTGGATAATTTGAAACATAATCCAAACAATTGTTAAAATATTGGTAGAACTTTAATTGATCCAATCGAAATGATACAAGGGTGTTAATTTAATTAATGTCTTCGTTTCCCTTCTATAAAACACGATTTGCTGTCCATCCTTTCCAAAATTACAACCTTCTGGATTATTGCATTCTTCTTTGCCTTTGTAAATACAATATCAAAATCAGTACAAATGTTAATTTTTCGCTCCAGTTTTAGATGAGTTTCTAACATGCACGTGCATGTACAAACACTATTACATGGCAGTTTTAACTTGTTTGTAACTTGTTTGGTTTTGAAAAAAATCCATTTCTCGTTGATGGTCCAATAATAATTTCCACTCTGTAGCTTGAAGAATTACTTATTGTGGTGTATTTGTATTAATTGCATCTCGAATTATAACTTCGTGGTAGAATCCAATTACTGGTATAAAACCAACTTAAAGTTGCAAATGATTATTAATATTAAAAACACCACCTCCGCCAACTGATTTTGTATTTTTATTTAACGACTCACTCATTTTTTTTTTGCTCAAGATACGTATGAATATAAAAACAATCAATGACCAAATAAAATATATTAAAATTTATTATTTTGCATCCCAAATCCCTTCTCCATATTTTTAATAATAAAGTTTTTGGGTGTGACGGCAGCAAGCAACTCGTCACGACGTCCTTAGTATCTTGTGACGGCATTCCTTATCAAAAGCAATAGTTTACGACTTTAACCGATAATTAGTAAAAAAATTTTTAATATCATACTTTTAGATCTGAGTCAATTTAAATTATTAGCAGCAAAATTTAGTTCATTTTGTGTTCACTTTCGTTAGTATTCACACCGATAAAATATGCCGCAAGTGACTCCAGTTAAAAAAATAAAATGTCGAAAATTGGTGCAAAACGAAAGTTACTGTACAACAATGACAGCGATGATGAATTTGAGAAATTGCTGCGGTGTGAACAAGTAATTACAGATAAAACACCTGATAATTCACCAATATCTTCACCATCAAATTCGTATGCGTAAGCAATTAAACAATATATCGACGAAGACGTCATCAAGATTTCAGATATCACAGACAACGATGAATTTAAACATCAATAAGAATATTACGAATATTTTTATACGAAGAATTAAATAGAGTGACCAGGCCATCAAATAAAACCTTCCACTGGTAGAGGTACAACAAAACAAATTCATCATTATTTCTGGGTGGAAATTGGTAAAGACCCGATTTGGTATAAAATTTACACTTGAATTCAACGATGGACTAGAATTCACATTCCTTCCGGACAGCTTCAATTCCAAGTACAACACCCAGGAACACATCGACCGTCTGACTGCTTAAAAAGTATGGTCTTTTATCGTGGGAAGAAACCAACCGGAAATGGACGCAGCGTACTCATTTTGGAGTTTGATAAATGGTAATTTTTAATTTTTATTTTTATGACAATCAAACTTAAATTTCTGGATTTCTTTTTCTTTGATACGTTCCTAAAAAGCAGTATTCGTGTGAGCGATCATCTTGTGAGCAGTTGTCCGGGAACCCAATATTATATAGGTATCTATATAGGTATATAACAGAAAGTCGTGTTAGTTACACTATTTATAACTAAAGAACGGCTAATCCTGTTCCCGCGAGAAGTGACATAAAAGGTGGTATAACGAAACGCAACTGACAGCTAAATCTAGATGATTCGAAGTTTTTCGTAATAACTATTATCGTATGCACAGCGGTTTTGAGCGGTACGCGGTTTTGTGATAAACAGACACCAATAAATAGTTTTCGTACGATTTGCAACTCCCGACGCTATTATCTATGGTCAAGTATTGTTGAAAATTTGACAATTTGAAATTTTGATTGGAGTTGTCCGATTGCTGTGTTTGTTTCAAGTTTCTGCTTATTGTGCCGATATTATCATTAACAACATGCCACGACCAAGACGATCAAATCTTTCCCGACAAAACCGTAATGCAATATGGTTATATCGCCGCCGCTGCGGCGTGATTATTGAGGAATTCTGTGTAACATTTAAGTTTGAGTGATGAATTTTGCAAAAGACGAAGCGGTAACTTTAAAAATCAAGAT